ATGATTTTCTCACATGAACCTAAATCTCTCTCTCTCTCTCTCTCTCTCTCTCTCTCTCTCTCTCTATATATATATATATATATATATATATATATATATATATATATATGTATATATATATATATGGAGAGTTTCCGGTAAAAACGGATCTTAGGAGAGATTGAATTATGTGGAACTGAATTGTGCATTTGGTGAAATCGAAATGTGCATTAGATGATATTGAAATGTGCAGAAATTAAAATTTAAACTCACATGTGCATTAGGTGAAACTGAAATGTGCAGAATAAAAGGTACAAAAATAACATCACATCGTACCTTTTATTCTGCACATTTTAGTTTCATCTAGTGCACATTTCAAATTCACCTAATGCACAATTTAGCTTCACATAATGCCACTACGTTGTACCATTTGTGATGCACATTTCAATTTCACCTAATACACATTACAACTTCATCTAATGCACATTGAATTTCACATAGAGCAAATCTAACGGTCCAGATTCATTCTCATTTTTCTCATAAGATCATGTTCTTATTTGAACCAAAACCTATATATATATATATATATATATATATATATATATATATATATATATATATATATATATATATATATATATATATATGTGTGTGTGTGTGTGTGTGGGGGGGGGGGGGGTAAGTATTGAATATAAATGCTATCTTTATAAAAGATATATGTGTATCTTTATATATATGAATATATATATTTGTGTCTTTATAAAAGATATCTTATAAAGATGCCATGTGTGTGTGTGTGTATTTATGCACATAAGACTGGGCTAGTGGAAGGATTTGGCTCATGCAAGATGATGTGAAAATCATGTGAGATGATGTGGATCTCAAAATAGGGATCGTCATTTAACTCATGACTTTATGAGCCCGTGGAGGGTTACCTATCCCATTTGTCAAAAAGCCCAACCCAGCTTATAAGGGTCGCAGGCCGGCGCAAACCACTTTTTAAAAGGGTGGTTATGAGGTAGAGTATTTGAAACCCGGTCCAGCCCATTGACCTGGCATGTCAAGACCCACCCTTGATCAGCCCATTAAGCCCAACTAAGTCCAACCCCAAAAGCCTTTTTATACATTATTTATTTTATGCACTACATTCATGATCATTGATGTATAAAAGCAATGAGTAATAGTAGAAGAAGAAATTTTAGATGACTCTTAGGTGATAAAGGTTTTGATAGAACTTGAGGTGTTTAGACACAGAAGAATAAATTTGATATTTCCGTATTTGTAAATCTCCTTTTCAAGAGTGCATCACCAAAAAACTAGACATAGATAATACCTTTTGAAGTGATGAATTAGTTACGCTTACTTAGATAGTTAATTACATTGTATTTTGTACTACATAAGGAATTTTTGTATTTTTTATGCAAGTCCATAACTCCGTCATGAGATCATTTTTGACGTATGTCCCAAGCCAGTATAATAGAGGGGCGTGATGTGGTAGGCGCGTGACTTTTAAGAGTATGTATCACTTAGTCACATCACATGACATGAATTAGAATATGAATATAGCAAGCACATATCACACAAATATATGAGTATCATCATGGATATGTAGGGAGACAGAGGAGAGAGGGAAAGGTTGAGAAAAGTCGAACAGTTAAAGTCAAGGTACTTAGAGCATCTTGAATGCTACGATGTGCAAGATGCACATGTGGCATGAGAGAGATAGATACAAAAAATTAAAGATGACATTTCTCTCCTCTTCTTTCCACGGAATCATGTGTTTTTGATAAGTTTTTCTCAACAATATCAACCATAAACATTGTGCTTGACATTGTAGAGAAAAATTTATCAAAATTAGATAAGATCATTCAAATAAGGAGAGAGATATTCTATTTATTTTTTATAATTGGCTATCTATTCAAATAAGGAGAGAGATATTCATGACTCTGCTTTGGAGTTTCTCTTATAGTGTCTATGTAGTGTGTACAAATATCATTTGAAATTAATTTGTTGAGAAATGCATTTTGTACATGTCTCGTGGCTTACACGTCATTTACATGCTCGATTTTGTCTGTGGACTGATATTTATTAAAATGAATTGTCTGTGACACATAATACGTTCGATTTTTTTTGTGTATAATTTTTGTGTGTCACAAATAAAAAAGAATTAAAAATAAAACATTTATCTGTGTTTAGACAAAATCAAGCGTGTAAATGGCATGTATGGTGTACATAAAGTAGAGTCATAATTTGGTTAAGTTGGATGATCAGATGATAACAAGAAAAGAGTATTAAATCCATGAGTAAATTCTCTAAATAGGATCAAAACAGTAGAGAAGTGTCGCATTATGATCAGGACCTCAATGTTTTATATGACTAAAAGTGTATTCAATTGACAAAACTATCCTTGAAGAATTTTAAATCCGCATGACCCAAGTTGATCGGAACTGGTTATTGTCGATACACCCATGGTGTCGCCTCCGACCTCCGGCCAACCATTGCTTATCACTGCCCTTCGGCTAGACCGCAACCATCCCCTTTCTAGTGGCTGCCGCAATCACTCTCCGATGGGTTCCTTTTTTATCCACAGAGTCCGTCTAAAGTTCCATGTTGTTAAAAATGACATGATTGTTAGGTATTTAGTTTTGTTGATGACTAAACCTTTCACAGGAACAAGGATGGAACTATCCTATGGTTCAAACAAACATTTATAATTATCTAACCATGCAGGTGAACCATAGGATAGAACTCTCATCTATCCAAAGGATAGACACTATGTTTAGTTCTATGAATATAATTAGCATGAATGATGAATGTGTACATGACAAATCTATTCTCTAATATTCTTGATACTACGTGGCTTAATTGAAATCTCTTTCCTTGCGTGCTTAATCACTCACGTAAATGAGTTGACTGATATGGCTTGATTGCTTATGGAAAGAATCATTACTTTTACTATACAAGAATCCTGCGGGTTGTATATGCTAAGAAAATATTTCCTTAAACACACATGTGCGAAAATCTTTGCTAGTTAAAATATTAAATGAAAATCCCTCTTAAGAAAGGGTCCGTTGCAACATGTTAAGAATGTTTGCTATTGCATGGTTGAATGATTGACCGGGCATAGTGATGGTTAATAAGTAAAATCTTTTAATATATGCTATACTCTTCCTTACTTATACGAATAGTTAAGAACATATCTTTGCAAAAACAATCTAAGCTATGAAAGGAAAGCAATTCAAAATATCAAGGCAAGACCCAAAATGAAAGGACAACTATTCAAGGAAGGATGCAGAGACGGCCTGCCTCAAGACAACTATATATATAGGCCGGAAGATCAAGAAAAGAGGTGTGCTTGACTGAGCAATAACAGAGTGAAACACTTACAACGAAATATCAAGTTCAAGGCACCTGAACCTGCTCACGAAGTTCTAAATATAGTTTCATCTCCCTTCTTTATCCTGTAATTGAATTTCGAGGAAAAGCTAAAGTGTAGCTTCCTCGGGTTGGGGTCGTGTGTGTGAGAGCTTTGTTGTAAAGCTGAGAGGCTCTCTACCCGCAAGGTAGAGATGCATAACTCTTCCTAGAGAGGTTAGGTTGTTTTTACTTGGACTGTAATTCGTCCCAGACCAGACCAAACCAGACTAAAACAGACCAAACCAGACCAGACCAGACCATACCAGATATTATCATCATCATCATCATCATCATTATCATCATCATTATCATTATCATCATTATCGTTATCATCATCATCATCATCATCATTGTTATTATTATTATTGTTATTATTATTATTGTTATTATTATTATTGTTGTTATTATTATTGTTGTTGTTGTTGTTGTTGTTGTTGTTGTTATTATTATTATTATTATTATTATTATTATTATTATTATTATTATTATTATTATTATTATTATTATTATTATTATTATTATTATTATTATTATCATTATTATCATCATTATTATGATTATTATTATTATTATTATTATTATTATTATTATTATTATTATTAGGGGTGTGCACCGGTTCGAAACCGGATCGGACCGTACCGAACCCGACCGGAACCGTAACCGGATTTTCCATGATATGCAAACCGAAAACCGGACCAGATGTATTCCGGTTTTTACTCGAAATTAAACCGGTTCATCCGGTTCAAAACCGGAATCGGGCCGGTTCATTTGGTTCAAAAACGAAAACCAGACCGGATGTATTCCGGTTTTTACCAGGAACCGAACCGGTTCATCCGGTCAAAACCGAAAACCGGACCGGATATCATTCTGGTTTGATCCGGTTCCGGTTTTTCGGTCCGGTTCGGTCCGGTTTTCCGGTTTAAACCGGATAGTGCACGCCTCTAATTATTACGGAGTATTATTATTGTTTTTATTATTACTTTTATAACGAATAGACAAAATTTTAGCATGCTGGAAGGAATATTATTATAATATGTGATAAATGAATAAAATATAATTAGTTATGGATTATAATATATATAAAAAATAAAATATTTATGCAAAAAATATAAAAAAATAAAATTTCAGACCAGACCAGATCAGACCAGACCAGACCAGACCAGACCAAAACAGACCAGACCAGACCAAAACAGACCAGACCAGACCAGACCAGACCAGACCAGCAAATTACAGTCCAAGTAAAAACATCCTTAGAGTTGGGGTGACTCAAGGGTAGATTAGGAGAATTTACCTTGTAACTACAAAAGGCTTTTTAGTGAAGTTGTTTAAAATTCTTCCGAGGGAGGTCGGGGTTTTTTAATCCCTTTGAGCCAAGGGATTTTTCTTCGTTAAATTCTTGTGTACTTTATTATTTCGCAATTCCATGAATCTCATACTAGAACTGTGCGAAAAACTGGCACGGTTCCACACATACAATTCACCCCCTCTTGTGTTGCTAACCGTTTCATCAATGATGATAGCATTTTCGTATAAAATATAACATATTCACATATGAAAACATGATATTTTGTAAAAGATTTTATTTTTAATTTAGAATTTGTGTCCTTTTCATATGAATAATGACATTATCATATTAAAATAATGACATTTTAAATTTGAAAATGTAGTGTACATACATATGAGACGAAAAGGAAAATGAAAATTTAGGAATAAAATGTCATCTTTTTTAGCAATAAAAGAGTTACTGTGAGAAGAGAAAAGTGAGCAGCATAGTGGGGACAAAAGGTCCACAAAGAGTGAGCCCTTCCTATAGATATGCATCCATACAGCCCTCCATTCAATTCTCCACCATACCCACCATTCCTTCTCTCTAATTATCTCACTTCCGCCTAGCTCCCTCCATCTCCGCCGCTGCCGCCTAATTCCGGTGACCAAAAACAACTGAGATCTACCCGCCTTGTAATCCGGCCATGACGCACAAGGAGTGCGACATCCACGGCGAGCAGCGGCAGAAGTCAATCCAGAGATTGTGCGGCTGTTTGGCCAGTCTCATCCTCGTCGTCCTCCTCCTCGTCCTCCTCATCTGGGCCATTCTCCAGCCCAGGAAGCCCCACTTCATCCTCGAGGACGCCACCATCTTCAACTACAACGTCTCCGCCCCCAACATCTTCTCCACCACCATCCAGGTCACCGTCTCCTCCCACAACCCCAACCGCCGCATCGGAATCTACTACGACAACCTCGACGTCTACGCCACCTACCATGACCAGCAGATCACCTACTACACCGTCATCCCGTCCGTTTACCAGGGCCACAAGGACACGAACCTCTGGTCGCCGTTTATTTCCGGGAACAACGTCCCCATCGCGCCGTTCAACGGCCCCAATCTCCGTCAGGACCAGGATGTCGGCGCCATCTCGATCACCATCAAGATTAACGGCCGCGTCAAGTGGAGAGTCGGGACTATCGTCACGGGGCGGTACCACCTCCATGTCACCTGCCCGGCTTACATACCCTTTGGCAACTCCGCCAAAAACGGCGGTATAGCGGTCGGAAGCGCCGTGAAGTATCAGCTCTCTCGCAGCTGTTACGTCAGTGTCTAATAATAACGATGTTGAACGTCGGTCGTCACGTCTGTCTTTTTCCCTTTTTACTGTAATAGCCCTTTAATTTTGTCCAGTACTGGATTATTATATTATAATTGCAGCTATAATTTGTATATTTTCTGAAGGGCAGGCGGAGGTGAGGATATAAAATTTCCAATCAAGGGTTTAAAACGCAATAATTGAAGTTTGATCTAAGATAATACTATAAAAGTACTCCATGTGTTTATTGTATTAATACGGGGTAATATACTCCATATCTCGAATTGAACTGCAAACTTTGATCGGCATAAGGATTAAGTAATGAGAATAAATGATGTTTGTTTTTTACACTTTTGTCCATCTTTCTAAAAGTAGTTATCTCTAAGTTAATTGGGAAAAAATAAAAGTAATCTAAGTTAATCGGGAAAAAATAAAAGTAAGGGTAAATTTGTAATTTTATTCTTATTTACATACCTAAAATAGAAAGTGAAAAACCATTTTGGAACAACCAAAATAGGAAATTTTACAAGTCAAATTAGGAAGGAGGGAGTACTATCTATATGAAGTATATTTAAGAATTCATAAGAATTAGGTGAGATATAAATAAATCTGACCGTGCGACTTTGAGAAACCTATGCGCTAAGGAACAACGAGGATTACTATGGCCTAGACCAATTAAAATATAATACAAACATAAAATATTACTAATTCTGTTGAATCTGAAATGTGCTGGTCTAAACTGATCTGGTCTGGTAAATGTCTGGTTTCTGTGTGTTTTATGACAATGGAAATATGGTCTTGTCTGAGATTGAAAACAGTTCAAAAGAAAATATTCTAACATTGAGATATGAGATCTATTAGGAAAAAAGACTTGATATGATTGATATTAAATTAATAAAATCAGAATAAAATAAAACTTATTTAGAATTAAACAAGTTTATTGATATGTGACAAGACAATTTAAAAAAGAAAGATCCAACAATTTTAATGAGACCAATAAAATACAATTTGGTGACTCTAACAAAATTTTATGGTATAAATGAGATCTAAAGTTTAAGAACATGCATGTTTGGTGGAAAAGAGAATCGATTATCATATTATATTGTTACAACTTTGTTTGGTTGATGTAGCTTTCGTGGAATTGTTTATTCCATGTGATGTGGCTCACTATTTTTTTAATTAGTTTCCAGTTATGTGAATAAATCATCCCACATATTTCCATGGGATAGTTGTCTTCCAATGTGGTCATTAGTGGTGGATCCATAGATGCACTTGAATGGACTAATCAGTAGTCATGTGTCAATTATTTGGGATAAAGTTCCTTCTAAGAAAATAAAATTATCGACTCAATCTAATACGGAGTACTCGGTATTTATTTTACAAGTGTTCATGACCACTTTTAATATGCATATTTAAGTTAGTGTTGCATATACTGCATTTTAGATTAAATCCAAAAAATAGCTATGTGCACACTCTCTCTCTAGGGTTTCGACAGCTAGAGTCGTTTCTTCTGTATTCGACATAGTCGAAGTACGGTCGACGTTTTGCTCTTGGTAAATCGGGTGGATAGGTCTTGGGGGTTTGCTTATCCAGCGCGCGGAGAAGAGGGCTTAGAAGGTGTGGTCATTTGACTCCACTTCGGCGGCTTTGGGATAAAGTTCCTTCTAAGAAAATAAAACTATCGGAGAGGAGGACAACGAACTGAATTTCAATGACGAGGGAGGTAAAGAGTTTGTTGCAGTCGAGAAGAGAGCCGAATTCATGGTGGTTGGAGTCGATCTCACGTATCGGAAAATCAAGTTTCAAGTCTTTAAAGATCTATTGGCTTCTATATGGCGTCCGAGTAAAGGGGTATCCATCAGAGAGATATGTGATAAAAGGTACTCCCTCCGTCCCGCTAACAATGGGACAAGAGGGAGCGGCACGCAAATCAATAAAAAGTGGTTTATGTGGTTGATATTGAATTGATAAAGTAAGAATAAAGTAAGAATGATTTAGAGCCACACAACTTTGCCAAATTTGGTATGGAACAATCTTAGTGGGACGGACCGATAAGGTAAAACGGGACAATCATAGCGGGACGGAGGTAGTATCTGTTTATTTTTTACCATATTGTGGATATGAATCGTATTCTTGAGGATGACCCTTGATTGTTTGAAAGAAATTTACTGCTCCTTAAGGAAGTTAGGCGACATGATATACCCCATAAAATGAAATTGTGTGAGGCAGAGTTCTGGGTAGAGGTTCATAATGTACCATATAGTTTCATGAATTTATGAATTGCTAGGAGGATTGTTGATCCCTGTTATCACTATACTCTATATTCTACAGAATGATGTATGAAGATGGAGCTCTAAATGATATAGAGGAAGCTTTTCATTGAAGAAGGTTTTTACAGAATGATGAGTATGAAACTTAGCGTACAAAAACATTTTCACGCAAATAGCTCTGCTGCTGAATAACTGGAAAGCTCTCTTACGCTAACCTTCTCTTCCTTTTCAAGATCTTACCTATGCATTCTACAAAGGGCATATATATAGCCTTGTAGAATGCTAGGCTATCAATGATTGGGCTCCTATAAAGAGGAGGCTCATTCCTAATTTGGTAAGTATACCATTGCCATTTAAGGCCTATTCAGTGTCTAATGAATTCTACAAAAAAGGCTAATTAAAATACATGGATCACAATCATAAAATATCTCTAACAATCTCCCCCTTTGTGATCCAATGTCTTTGTCAGCTCTTATTTGTTCCTTTGCCTTTTGAAGTAGTTCTTCCGCAATGCTAGGGCGTGCTCGTACATGCGTAACATTCTTCTCATTTCAAGTTTGTCATCGATTGCGTTTAGCACCGCGGTTATTCTGTCGAATTCTTTTATTTCAGCTTCAGAGGCTTCAGCAAGTCTTTGTTCTATATCAGATTTGAGGGGAAACAGTTTGTCTCCAATGATCAACAGAGTTCCATCACAGTATCTTGCAATGTCATCTATTCACAGAATTCGTCTCTTCTCTTCATGATTGAGATAGATGACTGAGACCGGATCTTCAAAAGTGGTGTACGGTGGAAAACCTTTGAGCTCCGGTCCATATAGGATTGGCTTTGTAAGATTTGTTCTGGTGATGTTGTTCTCGAGAGCCATCTGAAGATCATGAGTGGCGTGAACTCTGACTTGCCTCAACATAAAACGTCTTATTGCTTCATATCCTTCTTTCAGGACTTTATTATTTCTGATTGATAGGTTCCTGTAGGCCATGGACATTTGATAGATGTCATCCATTTTGAGTAGAAAGAAGTCATTCTCGTGACAGGTGAACTCTGTGCCATCAGTTCTTCGTAATCGATAAATCGAATACTTTATTCCGTGATGATTTTCTCTGGACACATTCAGAATATCCCAACTAGGGCATTTGCTCGTTTTCAGATCATGTTCCAGAATCTTGCGTTGTAAGCCTGTTGATCAATGATATAGCAAATGAAGATGTCCGCCGACTTGTCTACCTTTTAGATGGGTAAGACCTCGGACTTTGAGCTCATCTAGTTTTTTGATCCTATCAGACTTTCTCCATAATTGCTTTCTGATTTCCTCTTGGAGGGGGCAGTGATGTTGATGTTCTCCCATGGTTATTCATTTCTGGGCAAGAGCGCTCATGTTCTTCTGATGACGGAGGGTAGCTCTGCTGGAGTTTTGTTGTAGTCCTCCCCTTCCTTGAGTTCATCTTCCTCAAGCCCTATCGGATCTTCAGCGCACTTTTTCAGCAGGTCTCTGAGGTAGACTCCTCTTTGCATTTCGTATTGCTCGACCTCTTGTCTGATGTCGTCCCATTCTATCCATTCTTCGTTCCATCTTTCATCGATAATGATGTCTTCTAGTTCATCGTAGATGGACGGGCTTTGTTCTTCAGAGGGATCCTTCTGTTGTGTTGCTTCGTGAGAGGTAGAGCCGGGATGACAAGGATTGCCCGTTGTCATCAGTCTAGAACTAGGTTCTTCCTGATGGCCTTAATAGAATGGTGTACTCGAAGTAGCAACCTCAGGACTTCCACTCCATCCTTGGTCAATATCTCTGAGAGATATGCCTCAGAGTGTTTTGTCTAGCTCGACCATGCTAGAGATATGTAGGTTTGTGGCTTGGCTATTGGGTTGAGTGGATGATGGGACTGGTTGTTTGAGGATTCAGGTTGGGATTGTTGTGGGGGTTGTTGGCTAGTTGATGCTCCATGCTCGAGTGTCTGTTGCCTCTTGTTCTACCCCTCATGAAGATCCGAATCATCAGGGTCCTCATGTGAACGTTTATGACTACGGAGACTGTCACGAGATGTGCTATCGGTTTCTAAGAATACATGAAGAAGGTCTTGTTGTCTAGGGGTTCAGTTGCCTTCTTCGGTTACTCGTAGTGAATAGTGTAAGGATTAGGGTAAGGTGTGGTCGTTGTAGGGGAGGACACGCGTTCTGTATCCTAGGTTCCCCTTGAGGTGGTAGGTGTTGGGGGTTGTGTGGTTGAGGGTTCACATGTTTGAAGGGTAAGTATTGGGGTGAGTTGTTGTTGGGAGTGTGAGGTGGATGGTTGTGGTTGGATAGTATCTTTCTGAAGCACCTGGGTGTTCATGAATTCCTGTGCCTGAGCGGTTATTGCTTCGTGCACCCATGGCTTAATGGTGGAATCCATGAAACGTTGTGGTCTTCTCTTCTTCATTTTCAACAATGCCCATCAGCGCCATGTTCTCATCATCATCTGAATCATCCATCGAGTGATTTTTTATTGCCATGAGTGCATTTTTCTCACTGCTTTCCTCCATTGCTACCAGCATCTTCTTCTTGTTCAGGTTTATCTTCTGTTTGTAGTATTCGACATCCTTCATTCTCTTCGGCATTCTGCAATCCTTCATTAGATGTCACGCTTTCCCGCAGTTGAAGCATTTGGGAGCATCCTCGGCATTAGCACCCTCATTTGATTCAAAGGGATGTTCCTTTCTTTTTGTCCCGGTAGAGGATTTGCGGAGCTTATTAGAGGATGTGTTCTTCTTCAGCATCTTGTTGTTAAACCTGGAAGTAAGAAGTGCTATCTGCTTTTGAAACTCACGTAGTTCATCATCATTATCAGTTTCATCCCAGAAACCGATGTCACTGTTAGCACTATCACTTTCTTCAGCTTTCATTTTATCCTTCTTCGAGCCAGATTTGGAGGGTTTGTCAAGCATCAGTGCACGAGTATTAGCCAACTTATCAACAACATCTTTGCTTTTTTCAGCCATCACAGTTGTGTGAACATAGTCAGAAAGGTCTTCAACATATTAGTCAAGTGTGTTGTATACGGCATGGATGTCCACATCATCAAGGTCTTTTGTATGCCTGATCTGAGAGCACAACCTTCTCTAGTCTGGTCCAAGCGCTGTCAAAAACCTCACTGATGGAGTATGTTCCCATATACCCCAGGGGTATCATAATCACCGATGAGAAAGCATCACGGGGCCACACCGGATTGT